TCAGAAAGAGCATCTCAAAGGATGAGGAGGCGTGGTCTGTGATTCCCCGACGGTAAGTGCCCCTGCAGTTTTATTCTGTACCATCTGCTGAGCCTATTGCTAGGATTTGACAAGACTTCCAGAAACGTCAGGGTCCCGGATAATTCTTTCAGGATGAATCACCCAGATGTGGTCCAGCTGGCGAGAACGGCAGGCCCGACTTCGGCTCACTGTCAGTGGCCAGTAAGCTCTTTCAAAATGCCGGGCTCCTCCCAAGACTGTGAAAGGAAAGGCTCTGGGTTTGGAGCCCAGGAGTATGCAGGGTTTTTTTTTTTTTAAAGCTGCTCCTATCAACCTGATCATTCATGTGTCTGAACTGTTTGTGTCGTGTGGGCTCCAGAGCAGTACTGTCCAACGTAGCTTTCTGCAAGGATGAAGGTGTTTCATGGCTCCTGTCCAGCAGCATAGCCACCAGTCCATGCAAGCCTGTTGAGCATTCGAAATGTGAGACTGAGGAGGTGAAGCTTTAATTTTATTCCCTTTCAGCTTGTTTATATTTAAATAGCCCCATGTAGCTGATGCATACTGAAGAGTGCAGGTCAAGAAAATATCCTTCCCTGGGCTGTCTGAATGTCCGTCCTTTCAGTATCCACAATAGCACACCAGCCGGGAATGTGAGCTAGCCCCGAGCCGTGGTGTATACCTGTAGTTCGAGCTTCTTGGGAGATCAAGGCAGGATGATCGCTTGAGCCCAGGAGCTGGAGTCCAGCCTGGGCAACATAGCAAGACCCCAGTCTCAAATATATATATATATAGACATTGCTACTCCTCTATCAGTATTTAAATCCCAGGCCTGCTACTTCTGAGCAGTGTGACCTCAGGAAAGTTACTTAACTGCTCTATGCCTCAGTTTCTTCATCTGTAAAATCACGGTAATGGCATCTCCCCATCAGGTTGTTAGGAGCTAAAGCACTTAGGAACCATGCCTGGCACTTAACAAAGAGAGTGGCCAATGATGCTGTCAGAGCTAAACCAGCCGCCAGTATTATATTGGCAAAGAACACTAGAAAAATCCAATTTTTAATTTTAGCTATGCTGCCTACAAGCCCTGTGGCCATCTAAAATAGGGGGAAATGGCGCCACCCTCAGGGGTTTAAAACAGCATCAGATTCTCACACAGATGGGGTCTGGCACAGCACCTGGTGTGTGCCAAGGCCTTGATAAAATGGCAGTGACTCTTGGTCAGGACACGATTACACGCCGAAGCCTCTTTGTTAGA